CGAGAAACATACAATATGGAAAGACTAAGTAAAAGCACTATAATTCAAAGAGATGGTAGAAATGTCATACAAAAGAAGGTCGATTTCGAGGACCAAGAAGAGGCACCCATTTTTATATCCTCCCAATGATTTACCACTGGTCTAGAAATGTTGGTGAAGAGGCGATTGTTTCTTTCCAGCCAAATATATCATATGATTGAGCAAAAACCGTTACACCAAAGCACATTTCTACTAATGGAGAGAGGAATATTAATATATTTCAAAATGACATCGTCAACTCTGGCGGGAAGAGCTGTTGAGATATTAAAAATATGGAAGAACCATCTCTAAATATTAGTAGCATACGAGCAATAATGAAGGAAGAGAATGATCTAGGGATTCATCATTCTATTTATAAAGGGTACAACGGCTAGGATGAAGGCGCAAAAGTAGGAAATCTAACATGTAGCTTGAACCCTTTCTAAATAAATTTAAAATGATTAACATTAGTATTATGTTCATATTAATAATATTTTGTTGATTTACACGTGGAAATGTTTATGAAAATGTCGAGACTCATATTTATAGGTAGCCACCTTGATGTACTATCAGCAATCAGGTTCAAGTACAAGCGAACCAAGTTCATGACCCAATTGCAGACTATAAATTATTTGTTTAATAAATTAATATTCATGAATTAATATAAAGTTTTTTTATTTAGTCTATAGTATAAGGTAACATTAAAAGGGAGCAGTTTGAATGTGGAAAAAGTTTCCAAAGAACGGACATTGTTTCCACACAGGTCGCATTCATAACACACCATCCTCTACCACTCTTTCTTTTTTTTTTTTTTTTTTTGTGGGGAACCTTTGCTTTAAAACCCCATTTTCATACCATTTTTTTGTTTTTTTTTAACTTCAATTATATTCTTAATTCGATTTAGTTTCAATTCTGTCGAATACTTTTATAAGTTTCGTTATCGTTCAAGATGTTCTTGTTAGAGTAGGGAATAAATTCAATGAACGGTACTAGTTGAGTTGAGCTTTAAAGTGGGATCGACTTTAATCCTTTCTTTCTATTTGACTCAATTTAATATTTTTCATCTAATGTGGTTCGCTAGTCGTACTCTAAAAAAAGTAACATAAATTCACATGAGATCAACTCTAATTTTTTTTTTAAGCTTTCTAATCGAGAAAATACCTTGAAGCTTCGACCTAAATTAATGCTTTTCAAATAATATGACATGATGTCACAGTATAGTTATTACCCTTCATTAGAATATAAAATTTGATTAAGTTATCAAATTAAGAGATGAATTAGCAATCAGAGCACAATTAAGTGGTTTTAGGCATATATACTTCTCCAACATAAAAAAAAAAAAAATTATTTGTTTAAAAAAAATAGGCATGGACTAAAAATGTAGTTTATTGATTTTTTTTTTAATGTATATATAAAACAGTACTAATTGAAACACTAATTCTAAAAGAAAAGATTACATCATTGATCATGATCCGATTTCAGAACTGACAATGTACAATGTACAAGCATTAATGAATTATGCATATTTATAATCAAAAATTTTTAATTATATTTTGGAGCAATGACAAAGTGGCAATAGCATTATTAGTTACTTTTCAAAAAAATTAAAGTTTATTATATTCTTTTATCTAAGTATAATTCCGGCAGGAAAGCAAATTGTTTGAATGATTGTAGGTTAAAGAATTGTTACTTTCAACATCATGGGATATATAAAATAGCATTTATTCCTTTGCAAAAAAAAATGCATTTATTATATAAATTATAAAGTTTGTGTCTTCTCAACTCCATAAGAGGGTGGTCTTTTTTTTAATCATCTCTTTTTTTTGTGCTGGAATGGAAAAAAGAATTTTATTTTTATTTTTATTTTTTTAATTTCAATTTTCAAAGTAATATAATTGTGACGCAATTGAAAAGATTGCTATCAAGACTGATTTAGTTATGTATTCTTTTGTGTTTTCGAGAAATATAAGCATTTTATAAGTATTTAATAATCATTTATGTTTCTAATTTTTCATTTTTCAAAAAATGTTTTCAAAATTTTATCAAAATTTTAGAAATAACATAATCAAGTTTTTTGTCTCTAGTTTTCAATTCTAGTTTTTTTCAAAAAATAGAAAATAATAAAAATATTATTTTATTAATATTGAATTATAAAATGCATAATAAATATTAAAAATTAATATAATATGAACATTTTGAATATCTAATTTTAAAAATTAATTTTCATAAAAAGTTTATTTTTTTAATTTAAAATTTTAACGAATGAGAAACAATCAACTTTTACCAAATATATTTCTGTTTCTTTTTTCAATAAAAAAGAAAAAGAAATAAGAAATAATTATCGATACAATTTTATTTTTATTTATTAAAAAGGAGAAGACGAGAAATAAGAAATAAAAGCAAGAACCTATAATGTCACCAAACCAATCCTCATTATTCCTTTTTCCTCTTTTTTTTTAAGGCATCTGTCAAAGTCAGAGGTTGTTAACTTTGAAAGTTGTTTTTTGGATTTCCTAAAACCTTGGTCAAGCTGAAGAGTTTCTTACCTCTCAGTTCCATTTTTCAGGGAGCTGACCTGCAAATTCAAAAGACAAAATTTAGAATCAGAGAGAGAGAGAGAAAGAGTTATGAAAGAACATTAACATTCTTTGTGGTTATTACCAAGAAATTATCCACAGAACTACAGATTTATATTCTCAGAAGGAGATGCATATGCAACTTCTAAAAGGAATATATAAGAGAATATGCTATTTATTCATGTGGAAGTAGAAATTGTAGAATAGTCAAATCTGTTTGGTGAAATACCTAGATGTTTCTTCTTCTTCTTCTTCTTCTTCAGGGCTGATTGAAATGGAGTGGAAAAATTGGCCCAAATGGAACAAGACTAGATTTGTCAAAATTGTCAAAGTCTTATTTTTTCTGCAACTTCGTACAAAGAAAAGGGTGAGGAAAACATGAGCAATTCCATAAATTTTGTTAGGCAAACTGAAAGTTTTCCCTCATTACGCACTTGATTCACCAGTACATTGATTTTCTAATATAAAGGTTCTATCAAAAAGAATGAAGGTCATACGATGTCACGCAGCTCTCGAGTACTCCGCTAATTAACAATATCCTGTGGAGACGATAGTATACTGGCAGCAACTACAACACCAGAAGAAAAAATTAAAACCTGTAACAAGTGCAAGTTTTTCTTGGGTCGAAACTGTGCTCTAGAGAATCTTGATTACTTTTGCAAATTGAAACTTTCTCGGCGAATGATGCTTGATAATTCGACGAACAAGTGCATGGATCACCTAGACCAAATAGTACAAATTGTTGCCTTTATGTTCGGGAACAACGTGCAGAATAATTTGTGTGTGCTCAGGAAGCTGGGGAAAAAGCTTTTACCTAGAGAGGTGAGCACAATCTTACTTAAGAGCGACTCCATGGTCTAAATTTGCATATTCCTCGACGATTTTGTTCAAACGAGGCACGTATTGACTGAATCATGGAACACACTGGAGGTATATGAGCCAGCTTTTCATGCTGTTCCTGCAAGAGTGATTTAGCTTTAGTTTGTTTATATCTGTCCGAGGAGAGAGAGAGAGAGAGAGAAAGAGAGATGTGCAATACCACTTCCTCTAGACGTTCTTCAAGCCCTTTAGAATTTGCATCAGTAGGCATGAATACTTTCCTGTAAGCAGATCTCAAGCCATTTATCTGGATCAATGCACAAAAATATTTGGTAAGCTCTTACATATATCATTAAATGGTGCGAATAAATTTGTAAATCATCATAATGAAATTCCATGAATTGCAACCTCTTCCACTGTGAATCCGTTCCGCCGGAGTCCCTCTAGATTTAAACCGCGAAGTTCTGCTCTTTCTCCCATCACCATCATATACTTGGGGACATCTTGTGAAACCTTCAGGCATGTAATATTGTTAAATGAAATTGGGTTGGCAAATAAAAGAATTGCTTTTTTATGGATGGTTCTAAACACACGCACTCGCAAAATCAAATAGGTTCAAGTAAACAACAGGACAATTAGTTTGCATTTAGGAGATCATATATCATTGCATGCTTGAGCATCCAACGCATGTTCCTAAAAACATAATCAGTGTAGAGTGACAAAGACAATAAAATGAAAAAATGAAGATACCACGGTACCCCCAGCGACGAACGAGAAAGAGCCAACATGGCAAAACTGATGAACTGCAGTGGCTCCTGATGTGTGAACATAGTCCTACAATGGAAACACTTAAATCAACTTAATATCAAATACAGCTTGAACCACACCAGATGTTAATTTGTGCAGATAATGATAAGAAGGCATCTAACCTCCACCTCAACATGTCCGGCTAGAAGAGTATTATTTGCAAAAATATTGTTGTTACCAATCTTGCAGTCATGAGCAATGTGACAGGATCCCATTATGAGATTGTTATCACCAATGACCTGATTTCACACCAAGAATAAAAGAATGTTATGATGAACCATATAATAGATTCTAACAACCAAAAAAATAATTAAAGTATCTTCAGGCCTGTCTGATTCTGATCTTACTGTCACGTCACTTGACTTTGAAGATCGGTGGATTGATGAATGTTCTCTTATGTCATTGTTATCTCCAACATCAAGGAAACATTCAACCCCTGGCTAAATCATGAGGAGTAATGTCATATTAAGAGCAACCATCCTCTTTCAAGACAATAACCACCATGGGTTCTCATAACAATATCTAAACTAATCCTGTAATATTAATCATAGTTCACAGAAATGGATGCATGTGTTACTGATAACATTAAAAAATTAAAGCAATAAAGTTTACTAATCTGTTACAACCCATTCATCAGCAGCTAGTCAGAAAGAGAAGATCTCAATTTTATAAAAAAAAATGAAGAACATCTCCCAGTGTAATAATGATATAATGGGAAAGACTATTCAACGGGCCCTAAGTGGTATGTGTGGGAAAAACTATAGGTATGAGGGGCAGACTAAAAAGTTGCTTTTACTATTAACTTTATCCACCTGTTGCAAAGAAGAAAATGGAAAGATAATCCCGGAATATGAAGAACAAATAACTGAACAGATGATTGAAAAATGCTGAATATGAAGAATATTTATCAAAAAACCAACTGCACTCTCTTTGGTTCAGCATAGAATTGGATGAATGTCAAGCCTACCCAATTCTAGCCTTGATCATTATATGCATTCAGCTTCCACAAAATGATTTTTCCAGTCATTCTATCAGCAAGTACATCAGAATATAATGATCAATGCTATAATTGGGTAGGCTTGACATTTATAATATAATCCAGCTTTATACTAAAAACTACTGGGAAGCTCTCACTCACCAGCGGCATTGTTTATCACACTGTTTGACTCTATCTCATTTGATCAAATTGAATCTCTTAGGAAACAGGTGCACTAATGAGCCAAAATCAAACAAGAACAGGGCACCAACTGAATATAATTGAAACAAAACATGGCATTTTGTTTTGCATCCATCCAACTATGAATTTTGACAATGTAAGTAAGATTAAAATATCAACCTTGTATTTCATGTCTTGGCATCTAATGCCAACCACTGCATGGTGACCTATTTTGTTATTACACCCAATGACTGTCCGACCAGGAAGATCCTCACCAACTATAGCGCCACTGCCTGACCATGTTTTGTAATATAAGCGCATCAGAAAAGTCGTGTAATTCATACTTAACATCATACTACAAAAAGAGGCTGGTAGAACTCAAACTCACGTCATCAAGACACATTGATCCCCAAGTTCTGTACAGCCGAAAACATGGCTCCCTGGATGCAACTGACAACCACTTCCAAGCTTTGCAAAGGCTCCCACAGTACAGAATGGACCAATATACCCATCCTGCTACATGAGGAAGATTAATGAATTGAATTCTTTACAAGTCAGTAACAAAAATGAAACCCACCAAATTCACCATTTAACTACAAATAAGGCCATTGATTAATATTGTTGTATAATTCCTATGGAATAGATGTGTTATTCCTTGCAATCTAAGTATACTGTATTCTTTTGACAGTTTCCTGGCCTATACATCATCAAGATTTTTCTAAATTGTTTCGTAATAACAAATAGACTAGTACCATTTGTATTAAAGAATTATAAGATATATAACATGACTACAAAGCACAATAAAGTTAAAATTAATGTCATGCACAGATATATTGACTATTAATATTATGCATTTTGCGCAAACTTGGCTGGGTAAGGCAACTCTACTTCTTCTAAGAGGTTGTAGACTCAGGTCTCCACCTCATCATGTAATGTAATATTCTAAAAAGAAGACATTATGCATTTCATAAATCACAAATAGATATACTTTACAAATATATAAATGTAATGCATCTTCATTTTAATAATAAATGCTTTTTTTAAGAAAATACTTCAGCAATTTTTAATTATGTATTTGGGTAAATATGATATATATACTAAATATAAATATATGTTTAAAATCTCACTCAGGAATAAAACAGCACAGTCTAATGCAAAGTTTTTTAGTCAGATGTAGTTCTCATTCAAAAGAACCGCTGGATTCAGTAACTAACGATAAAGGAACTACGATTAGTGCAATAATTATAGACATAAACGCCGAGAAATTTAAAATTAGCTGAATCCCGAACAGTTGAGACATCCGACTAATACAATTAAAAAACAATACAGTCCATTCGCTCCACATCAAAAGTAGCAGAAAAAGAAAAAAAGATACCTCGCCGATTACAGCATCCGGATGTACGACAGCAGTTGGATGGATGAAAGTAGAGGTTCCTCCAGTTGCAGGTTCCGATTTTACGACTGTAACGTGGAAAACAAACCTACAAGCTCGATATAAAGGAAGGAGAGTGGAGGTTACAGAGCGAAGGATATACGAACCAGTTGATGAGAAGCGGAGGCGATTGAAGGAGCAAAATGACTTGCGAGCTTTGAGCAGCGACTGCATCGGCGGGAGCGAGTACTGACTCCTCTGTCGCCGGTCGCTTCACCGGAGACTACAAAATAAAAGTAAAGCGTTAAATTACCCGCGACACTGTGAAATATTTCGCATTTTTAAAATGAGTTTAATTACCTTTTTTTTAATTACAAGTTTAATAAAAAAAATAGTAGAATGTCAGGGTATCTAAGAGCATATTTCTAAACTTCCGATGTTTTTTCTGTATTTTTTTAATAAAATAGATGTGGGTCGATATTCGAACTCATAATCTTATAGTTAGGAATTGATATCTGAATTAGTTGAGTTAAATTCAGATTGACTGCTTCTAATAATGCTCAAACTACAATAGAATGTTTAACATGTGAGTAAAAATTTAATTTTGTATTTAATATGCTCATTATTTATTATAAATTTTTTTTTTATTTTTAATTCAAATACCTATGAGATACAATATCAAAAGTTAAAAAGGACCTAATCTTGAGCCAGAAATTATGTTTGTAATTTAACCTATTAAGAATATTACATCACAAATATGGAACAGTAGATTAAATCATGTATTTTGATAAAATGGAAGGATTGACGATGATTCACATGTTTATTAGACCAACATGGACTAGTTTGTAGGATTGACAGACAGACACGTGAAAGAAAGAAAAATGATAATTGAAAAGATAAATTGAGACCTATACAATATATTCTCTATATAGTATATCATTCTAATTGAATTAATAAAGAATACTTATTTTTTATATTATATAAGATTCTCTTTAGTAAATATACTAGTAAAACTAATGAAATTTTTTGGATATAAACATATAGTTTAGTAGTTAAGACAATATGTAATATATATATATATATATATTCCTTTTTCCAAATAGGATGTTTTTTTTTATTTATTTCATTTTTTTTCAAATAACAAAATTCTTACACCTCAAATAACATTAAAAATTAAAAAAAAAAATCCCTCATATATTTACTTTACAAGAAAATAGAAGACGTGAGACACTTTTGAGAGTTGAGAGAAAAATAGAGGTTTAGATTATAAAAATGGAAATTAATATTACAATATCATACAATACAAGTATCTTTATTTGAAATTAATCCTAACCCAAATCTTGACATTTTTATGGTTACATAAGCAACTTTGATCCTTATTTACATTACAAATACAAACAAATCCATTGATTTAATCTCATAATAACCACCAAAATAATGGGATTAAAAGGCTGGTTTTGCAAAGTGGAATTCCTTTCTTCACCCTCTTCTTTCATGGCACTTCAGAAAGACCAATTGGCCTCACTGCAACATATCACGCCATATTATGCTACAACTTCTCTGCAAAATTTTCCTGCAAGCTTCTTACATGGCCGCTGCTTTACAAAACGATGTCGCCCTCCAAAACCCGAAGCACCTACAACAAGCATGGCATTGAGACGCCATTAAGGGTGGTCAACACACCATACGACGTCGAAACGTTAGATGATGGGAGTTAGGCTTTAGAGTGCTTGTGTGTGTCTGCGTGTGTGTGTTTTAGGCTGTGCTTTTGGAATGAAGTATTATATAGTTATGCAAAACAGTGATCGCTCGAATGGGCCAAATCCTACCTGAGACATACGTGGTCTTACATACGGGTCGTGCTTGATGCACAAGGAAGCGCATTGCAGCATACGGTGAACTTCCTCTTCTGAATAACAATTCCTCAAGCACGGATCGACCAGTTCGGAGATGGCATCTTTTCGCAGCAGGTTTTTTGCCTGATCCCGACATGAAATGCAAGCAAAATGGATCAGAGAAGACATGAAGTTGGATGAGAAGAGGGAAGGCAAATTGTGCTGCCCATTAAAAGAATGGATCAAGATGTCTAGTCGTGGTCCAATGGTTCTACAAACTTTGCCACTTCCGAGACAACTTACCCATTCGGTGAGGCACTGCTGGCCCTTGGGACGATTTAAATCAATCGCTTTTCGTCCAGTCACGAGTTCCAGCAAGACTACGCCAAACGAGTAAGTATCGGCCTTCTCTGTGATTTGGCCACTCTGTGCATACTCTGGAGCCAGATAGCTAAGCAAGCAAAGAACTTGAAATTCAACTTCTGATTTCTAGTTTGTGAGATGAAAAGGAAGAAATAAGAGAATGAAATGGTTACCCAAATCTCCCAAGGATTCTAGTTTCCACTGCCAGATCACCATCTGGCTGCCACCTTGCCAGCCCAAAATCTCCAACCTATAACTCGAAGACAAAGTTCCACGTCATTTACTCAAATTATTAGCCAGAAAACTCAAAAAAGGCACACTTCACAATCGTTCTTATTTGACAGAGAGACTGTGATTCTTATATAAACACACACATAACTGGGGATCAATGACATGAGGGCAATTGACTCACTAGTGGTTCAAAATCATGAGTGAGGAGGATATTGTTTGGGCGAATATCGCGGTGCACAATACAGCCCACTCTACACTCTTCATGAAGGTATCTCAAACCTCGAGCAGCTCCAACCGCAATCTTCTGTCGTGCAGACCATTTCAGAGGATCACGATTTCTTCCTGCAAAGATGGGATATGAAGCTAGACGTGATTTACTTGGACATTGAAACAATCACAAGGATACAAGGAAGCCGTGAACTTGAAAAAGAGGAAGGTTCCAATAATTTACCATAAAGATGAGAATCAAGAGATCCATTGCAAATATATTCATAAACAAGCAACCTTCTTCCGCCCTCCACACAAAATCCGATGAGCATCACAACATTCCGATGTTGGGCACAACTTAAGACCTCAACTTCCGAACAAAATTCTCGATCTCCCTGAGTACTGGCCAGTTTATATTGCTTGACAGCAATGACTTGTCCATCTGGTAAGATGCCACGGTGCACAGACCCAAATCCACCCTCAGCCAGAAAATTTGTTTGTGCAAATCCACTTGTAGCAACTTCGAGTTCTGCATAAGTGAACCATCTAGGAGGATTCCCAAATGCAGGGGCCTTGTGTTGACACATTGAACACAGCGGGGGAGGGCCTAGAGGTGCTTTCCTCGATAACAAAACTGTGTTCCTTATGTTTCTGCTTGAACTCATATCGGTATTTCGATTCACCACATCGGGGCTGGGTTCTAGAGAAATAGTCGAAGCTTTCTTGACCAAACCTTGGCGTATTGAAGATGGAGGTCTACCATGAGCGTTCTGTGATTCTTCCATCGTGTGTTGCAGGAATTTTCGCCTGTAACTTAGAATATCAACCATACAACGATGGAAGTATGAAACTGAGGGTGTTTGCTTTTCGCTATCAGAATCACATTCAGATCCAGACAAATGTCTCCCTCCTCCAGATGCTGTTCTGGATTCATTTCTCAGGCTGCCACAAATCCCTGAGAACACAGATGAACTGCCCACATCCGAGCTCGATATCGACGATGTTCCAACATCAGTTATGGTAAGAGGAGACTCTACATCAGGAGTACTTGCAGGAGTCATATCTGGAGCCCTGAACATGGTCGATTCATCGAAGTAGCTTTTAAGACACTTCTGCGAAGCTTCTAATTCGTGTGATGATATCCAAGCTTGTCTAGTATTCATTTTCGGGGAATCCATCAAATTTAGACGAAGAACCTTCGGTTGAGATTTCTTCATAAGAACAACATTGCACTGCAGTTCTTCCAAACAGTTTTTCCTTTCATCCTTCAACTGTCTGTCCACAATTATGAAACACCAAGAATGAGCAAATGGGAGCAAAAGAAATGTCAAAGAAAAGGCTTAAAAGTACACAGCGAAGACGCCAAATTCATCGAGGAGAACACGTGACACGTCATTGCATATGCCTAAAATGCATACAGTTCATACAAATGAATATGCCTAATAGATACAACGTTGACATTATATCTATTACTTATCCAATATGACCCAGTTTGATTGAGCTTTCTTAGCTTCAGTAGCCACCATACCCCGAGCCAAACCTGAAAGAACTTTGATCCTGACTTTTATCTGCAAAAAAAGATTCCGAAACTTGAGGATTTGTAGACAAGTAGGAAATATTAAAAACCCTTTGTAAATAAGTTATTGAACAGACCTTCAGTGGGTCATATGCACCATGAAGCTGATTTACCATTTGAGAACAAGAATGCACAATGTCATCCTTCTGATCTGAAAGGGTTCCCGATGGAATTCTCAGATGACCGATCGTGCAGTCGCCGGTCAATCGGGAAAATCCCCGCATCCATTTACCTATAACAATATGATTTTCCATCAAAACTTTTACAGGCAGAGGAAAAAAGAGAGCAACTAACTGAAAGAAATTGAATAGTTGAATGTAATAAATTGGTCAACCAAATATTCTTATATTCTCATCAATGGGGTAGTAGTTTTTCTGGAAAGTTCTGGAAAATCTTCTCAAATTGATATCCCATTATAACTAAAGATTCTCATGTTTTAGTGAATAGTCTTTTCTTGTACATTTGTCATTTGAGTAAAAGGAATTCCAAGATTTTTCTTGTACATTCAATTAAAGAGTCCCAAAATAAATTCCAATTGATACTCAAAATAAATGCTACATTTATTTATCAGACATCCACCTCTCCTCATCTAACTAGACATCATAAATGCAACCAAAACGTGTCTGAAAACTGCTATATTCTTGTCATCTTGGGCCAAAAACTTCAACAAAAACACTATGAATTTCGTAAAGTTTAATGTTAACCTGTCGTAGAAACACAAAGGGAATCTTACTTGAAGGATGAGAAGGGATAACGACGAGGAGCTTAATATGATCTCCAGGCTGAACCACATGAGTCAAGGCCCAAACGAGAGCAGCCTTGGAAACATCCTTGGAGGTGGCTTTAATGGCGACGACCACCACTTTCCCAGCCAAATCCAGACGACCCATCTCCATAAACCCTCACAATAACCACAAACCCAGTTCAGTTCCCAATCTTGAGGATCAAATTTCCACACCCATGTCAGAAATCGCCATTAAAGAGGCCCCTGAAATGAAAACCCCCCAAAAAGAAACCGACACTGAAAACAGGAAAAAAAGAAGGGAAATCTGTATTCCTAATTAATATTGCTGCAGCAATGAGCAGTGAAATCAGCGATGGAAATGCCCCGGAAACCGAGGTGCTAAATGGGAAAATGGAAAGAAGAAAAAAAAGCTTAAAGAGAGAAAGTAGAGTGAGCCACGCACTTCTCACTTACTTTACATGTGAAATTCACGCAGCCCCACAAAACTTTACTGAGTAAAGTCGAGCCAATTCTCCACCCATTTCCCCATTCTCTCCTCGGGAGAAAGTAATAAAATCTACAAATCCCAAAAGCAATGGAAAATACATGGCCGTAACAGTAAATATTTGATAAATAATAAGTTGTCTAAGTATTTTTGTTTTTCGGACAATTGCAAGCCAAAGCTGCAAAATGTTGGGAATGGGGACAAACAAAACGACACAAAAGAAACAGAGGGATTGGTTAAAAGTCTTAAAATAAAATGAATATGAAAACAAAAACTTATCGATGATTCCAGCAGCTAACTTCCAATAATCCTATTCCTGATGGCTTTTTTGATCAAGACGAAAACGAAATGACGTTGCTTTCTTTCTAAGAAATCCCAAATGCCAAAATATCTCTCTCTCTCTTTTTTTCTTTTTTTACTATTTTTCCATTCTTTTAATCTTTTTTTTTTTTTTTAACTGGGATATCTCATGTTGTGTCCTTTGAACTCAACAAATCTGAGTTTTAAGATATTTTAGTATTAAAATTTGGATTTATGAGAATGGAAAAATGAACTCATGATTCACCATCAAATCTTACGTAAACTTGGGGTTTAATTTCAATTCACTGACCTCTTTAATAATAAATCAAATTTATTAAGACTATAAACTCGATTATCAACCCCTCGTCTACTCTACCAACAGAACATTATTATAAAAATGATCTTGATTTTTCTTTTTTTTTTAAATGCTATTTTCGTTCCAATTGTTTCACTTAAATTTTTAAAAAAGAAGAAATTTATTTTCAAACGTTGATTCATTCATTTTCATTTTTATCTCTATTTGTTTCATTGTAATTTTAATATTACAATTTTATCAAAAATTTCTATTGTGTAAAAAATTGTATTAAAATTTTGCTAATAGTAACTTAAATGACGTTTTTTTTTAAATATAGAAGCAAAACCAAAAGTAGAGAGATTAAAATAAACAAAATCTGATACACGTAAGAACCAAATTACAATAAATCATAATCAAATATACATAGACCAAAATAGTATTTAAATTCTTTTTTGACCGCATATTATATTTTCTGTCAGATTAAAAGATGTGTTTTCTTTTCTCACAAACAAAAGTTGGGGTTGACTGTAGATAAATTCCTTTCTGAGTTCATAGTTTCCCATTAATTAAAAAGATATTTAAAAAGAAAATGATTTGCTTTGGAAAAGACAAGGTTAGGGGAAAAGATGGGAGGAAGCAATGGGACAATAATAAAGAAGCTTTGAAAGGCTTTACTAATTTATTTATTATTATTTTTTTCAGTGAGTTTTTGGGCCACCCACTGGCTAATATAATATATATATATATATATATATATTTAATCTCATCAATATTTACTAAGAGAGTGAAAAATAGTGTTTGGAAAGTACAATGCTGGTAAGTTAATGTGAGGTTAAAAAATATATTTCTTGAGAATAATGATTTAATCCTTGAAATTTTATTTCTAATATGAAAATGTTTCAAGTTGATAGAAGATTGTGGTTAATCTAATATTTTTGGAATGGTTACTAGACTATGCAAATGACAAGTAATTTGAGAAGTGTCGAAKAAAATGCACTATCTAGTGGGTTATGCCCAATCTAAATTGAAACGAATTCTTTATATGTATTAGTTAGTTGGTTGGATTATTGATGAAATTTTTGCTTTGATGGAYTATTATGGAGTTATTTCTTGTAATTAAATGAGGTAAATGGTTGTGCCCATACTCTTTGCTCTGCTTTGTAGTCCTATGTAATGTGGCCACTAGGGAGTTTTCTGGTTTTTCATGAATTTCCATTTTGTTAAAAAAAAAAAACATTTAATCCTTGACCTTTAATTTGTAATAATTTAGTTTTGTAGCGATTTAATTCCTATTGTGAAAAATATCATTAAGATTTAATATGRTTTATCAATAATTCATGAAAAATCCCATACGTTAAAGAATTACAAAGTCGTTATAGAATAAAAATACACTTAATTTGAGGAGATTTTTTATAGTCGGGATTAAATTGTTATAGATTTTTAAATATATAGATTCAATTGTTGCATTAAACTCATGAACTAAATTGTTGCCAAAGATCAAATTGCAGGGACCAAAAGTTTTTTTTAACGTTCATGTAAAATTTACCCAAAATTATTGGCGAACTACAACCTCAGACTCTTTCCTTGATTCTCAACAACTCGTTTGGATCAATTTTAGAAAAAGAGTGTAATTAGTTTAGCTTTGTCTTATAAATTATGGTCCATATAAATTTTCTCTCCAATTCATCAATATAAAATAACAACCACATTTAGTTTTTTTTTTAATATAGTATTTTGTTGAGGTCCAATTTTAAAATAATAACTTTATGTATGTGATATATCTATGATAATGATTGTCTATGCAATATGTATTACGAGTATATGATATACTACTGTGAATGAAAATTTTTGTATATTTGAAAATTTTAAAAACTGATGACATATTTTGAAATACATGAAAATTTTTGCTATCCACTGCAATTTYCCTAAATTGTTCCTATGACACATTTTCATTCATTTTATTTAGTATTACAAATGTCTAAATAATTTCTATTCATCTTAATTACCTCACTGCCCATACAAATGGAGTKCTGAAAGATGCTGTTTTTTTTTTTTAATTCCACCCTCTCTGCAAGATTCTATATTGTACCAAAAATACACTGTCCATATCAGCAATTATATTCCTTAATGCCAAAAAAAAAAGGGAAAAAAGGGGAAAAAGGGAAGAAAAAGAAATTATTCCACTTTTTTTTTTGTTAGGAATAATGGAATGTTAACCTCCTTTATTTATTTATTATTATTATTCTTTTTTGTTGTAAGAATTTGATGCCATTAGTCTCATAAAAATGCATAGAAAGAAAAACTAATATTCCTCTTTAAGTTATATTTTTGCACCTTTTGTTGCTTGTGAATATACATTTGTTATCATATCATGCCAACTAAAATATATTTTTAGCCTATAGAACATTTTGATATTTTAAATATGTAGCTCTACAAAATAAACTACAAAATAGCATAAAAGTTATGAGATAATCTAGGTTAAAGATCATATGTTTTTTTTTAATAAAAACAAACATTTGGAAATATTTTAAATAATTTTCCATATTTTGCCAAAATTAAGTTAGATGTTCATCTTCATGCTCTGGAACATTTATTGTACTCCACATTTTTGTTAAACAGAAATTAAGGGATATATAATATATTATTACATAATAACATTAAATTAAAATTTTTAGTCTTATATGTAACAATATAAAAATAGAATCTTAAAGTATTATCGTTATAGTACTTATTATTTTTTTAAATAATTGTTTTAAACAATTAAAGCAATTAAATCGAACAATTGAATCGCCGGGAAAAACAAATACTGACCTAACGCTAAACCAACCCGATTCATGATTCCGGCGCCATTCTTTCGAATTCAAAATTGTTTCCATATGTGTAAAGCTTCACAACTTTCACTGCGAACAAGAGATTGAGGCCTCGCTTCATAATGGGGCAACCGTCAGTTTCTTGATCTCCGATCGCGATGGGAGCCGAATTTTTCCCGGCGAGGCTGAAGAGGGAAGACTGTAAACGCACCAAACACGATTCCAACTTCTCCAAATGGGAGGTTCGCTTTCTCTCTCTGTTTTTCTATCCTTTTGTATGCTTCGATTTTGGAATCTGTAAGGCTGTTTATAGAAATTAGCTTGAATGAATATGGCGGATGTTTGCCGCAGAATCCGGATGTAAAATCCCTGAATTATGGAGAAGCCGCTTGAATTGGTGATTCCTTTAATGATAATTTGTTTCTGCCTCTGAATATGGAGCAGGCAAAGGATTCAACTGCAGTTGTATTGTATACATCTTAATAGTTTAGAGATCTCAATTTCTAATCTTTTAGTGAGCTTAATACCATCCTGGATCCGGACCTTGGGCGGGCGTGGGTCTCGGACTGGGTGCCCCTAAGTATAGGGGAACCAAGCTCCGACTCCTATTTATCAAAAGAAAAAAAAAATCGAGGCACCCAACCCAAAGGTCCAAATCCAGGAGACATGAAGAATTTTTGGTATTAAGTTCACTCGAAGGTTTGAATACGAGACCTCACGGGAGGTGATATCGAAGGCCCCATGTGCCACCTCCGGGGCGATTTGCTTGTAATTATTAGTGACCAAAACAGTGCCTCTTGTGAGCACCATAACCAAACTTATGGCACATATTGATGGGGGAGGGTGTTCTTGGGGCTGTTCACTTTCTTTCATTTTCCTCATTGTGGTKTATGTTGTGGTGTCTTAGATTCTTGTGGCCCCTTCTGATTGGGAAGACTATTCGTCGGGAAAGGAAGGTGCAGAGAGGTACAGAATTCACAATCTTCCAAAAGTTTCAAGTCCTGGACTGTATGAGCTTGGCATAGCTTTATGTAGCTCTGGTTTGGGCCGTGAGATTGCTAAGCTAGATGCAGACTGGATAGTTGCGGTCTACCTTGGCGAAGCCGATAATGTGAGAACTCGGCTCCAGCACTATGGTCGTTCGGGTTCTCACTTGGGCAATGGCTATGTATGTGTGGATGATTGTAAAGTTATACCTCTTGAAAAGGGACCTGGTTTGTTTCAGGAAATGTTCTCAAGAGGCTACTCGATTGTGTATAGATGGGCACCTGTAAGTATGGTCTGTTCTGAATCTATTTACTTGAGTCAAATGGTTCCATCTGGTTCTTGTAGTACTGCACTAGTTTGTCTCTGAATGTAGGTTGTTTATGGTATCTTTTGAGTGCTGTAGATGAAAACACATTTCCACCGCCCTTTCGAGATTTTTAGATGAAGGCCATACTTTTTCTGACATGAATATTGTATGTTTCTCATTTCTCTTTTGTTGTTTTGTCAGATGAAGAACAAGAGGGATGCGCAAATGACAGAAGCTCAACTGCTCAAAACATTTGATTATGCTTGGAATACAAGTGGGAATGGTGCACGACGTCATAATGATGTCTTCAAGAAGCTTGAGGATATCGCTTCCCGAACTACAAAGTTTACCGTTATCGCCAGGAAGCTTCTACCTTTTAGACAGAAGCGGATGGGCATCAAAATTAAAACAAGCAAGGTAATTCCAAGAGCGAACAAACCAGCTGATTATCCTGAGGAGAGGAACAATTTCTTTTCTCGCATTCTCAACTTCAGCCGAACTCGGCCTAGACTAGTTGTGGACACCGATGAGGTTAATGGTGCTGATAGCAGTAGCTGCGGAGTGGCCATAGGTTATGGTGAGGTTTGTAGGAAGCCCCCTGTTGAAGGAAGAAAGAGGTGTGCTGAACATAAAGGGATGAGAATTAATGGGTCACTAAGGAACTCATCTGGAAGATCGATTTTACAAATGTATGTGGATGTAAGAGCAACCAAGTATGGCGACAAAGACTTCTGTGGTAGCAATGGGGAGAATTCCTGTAACACAGAAGAAGTCTCGGTTTCGGATTCATTTCCTGATACGGGAAATTTTCTTCCAATTTGTGGAGTTGTTCTACATGATGGATCTCCATGTAGAAGCCGCCCTGTTCAAGGAAGGAAACGGTGTGAAGAACACAAAGGACAAAGAATTCGTAGATCGACCCTTACATCGTCTAAAGGAGCCAAACCAAAAGTTTTGCTCAATGTGATTATGAGCCAGGATAACCATACTGCTTCAGATTATAAGCAAACTTCATCGTCCATATCAAAACCTGAACCAGTTCTGATAACACCAGGCAATTCTTCAGAGCCATCTTTTGATAGCCCAGTCTTTGAAAGAACGTGTGGTGTTGATTTAGGCAATGGACTCTACTGTACAAGGCAGCCAGTGAAAGGACGAGTTCGGTGTGGGGAACATAAAGGAATGAGGACTAACGGGTTGATTTCAAAGTTAGCCAGGAGTGTTAATCCGAATGTGTCGGATATGGGTTCTGTCTGCTAGATTCAAATCTAGTGAAGAGTGTGCTTATAAGATCTGTGAACCAAGTTCATTTAGTGAAGGAAACAAAAGGTTTCAAGGCAAAACAGGCTGGTAATTCTCCTTCCTTTTTCTTTGAGACTAGAATAGGTTTTAGCCAGAATGAATCCATCTGTTTCATAACTCCTCTGGCTACACAATGAAACATGAGCAAATAACTCAAACTACTTTCAGGAGTGAAGTATGGGGGACAAGATTTTATTGTATTGACTGATTATTTTTCTAGTTTAATGTTCTTACTTGAGCTTATAGTTGCTTGTTGGACGCAGAAGAGGTAGAAAACCTCCTTGTTGAGGAATAAGAATGGTCATTTTCAAAATTTCTAGAGTCAACAAGAACTGGTATCTTTCATCTTCAGCAATTTTTGACATAAAAACTGGTATCTTTATGGTTTCATTTACTTGCATAATTCAAATTAGTGATTACAATTTAGGATACAAAGAAAAATAGTTAAAAGTTGCAAATGGTAAATTGCAAAATATTCACTCACATCTTCGCTGTTAAATTCATGGTCTTTTGAGCTCAGCGGAGCCAAATCCGATTCACTTCCTGTTCAGATCTGATGCCATCGAAGGTGAGACTATAGTGAAAATGAACAACATACCAAATGCTGTAACTAGGAGCAGAAAGCAGAGAAGTTGGTGGTTGGATACCTTCAAAATCATGAATTCTTCTTTATTACTTACCTTCAAAACCATAAAGTCTTTACACAAGACATTCCACCAGCTATGTACACCCGGTGCTAATTCTACTTTTGAGAGATACATCGACTTTGTGGAGAACTCTGAATACCAAACTATTATATTTCTGCCTTTTGGTATTCTTTCATAGAATCTTGTAACTAGCATGTCTTCTAGTTCAAATTGAAAGAATGGATATACAAATAATCTCGAGGCTAACATGATGGCTCCTGATAGTAGAATAAGCCATGACTTTGAATGGGAAAAGAATACTTGTTACGTATTAAGAGAGGACGATTGGATGTTTCTTTTATTCGTTACCACTTCTACCACAGCTTCATCTCGGGATGGAACTCTTAGGTATGTTTTCATTACATCATAAATGGTAAACCCGATTGCTACCGATGGTACAACCTGAAAGATAACGCCCAAAGTTAGCTTAGACACTAAGAGGGAATGATGTGAAGGGACTAGGTAAAAGAATTGATATTATCACCTTCAAGTAGTTGATGCTTAGACCTGAAAACAACTGTTTAATACCTTGCTTTCTAGCTATCGAAGCAAGGGTTTCAAATGTTCCCATCATCTCGGAATTGTTGGATGYTAGTAGACGTTGAACCTGTTTCAGGTGAATTTCCACTCTTAGATTCCATATAGTTCAAAATTTAAACATTTTATACCATGAATTTCGGTGCAACTTACCTGCATTTGCCTCCTGACCACATCAAGAGGATATGTAAAGGTCTGACCCAACAAACCTGCAACTGACCCGCACACCAGCTTGACCATAATATTTTTCTTGTGTTCCTCTGGTACGTGTCGTTTCATCTCTTCATAGAAGTAGAATTTCAAACCAGCATATGGGAAAATCCCGTAAAGTGATGGGGCTGTCAGTGGCACACAAGTATTAAGTTAAAAACTGATGAGGTGAAAAGTGAGCCCCAGGATGGGGATGCCAAAACTTACAGGAGCAGATAGATAAAAAGGGCATACCAACACCGCGATAGAGGCCTCTAAGTCCAGCCTCTCTATAAGTCTTTGAGAAACAATCAGAAATCCCTCTATATAAATGCTCAGTGTTTACTAGCCCATGAATACTTGACTTTGACGGACCAACAACCTGCAATATCAGATCTAACTAGGTTATAATGTTTTCCTCTGGAAGTGTAATGAGAAATTTATCTCTTTACTCACAGCAGTGTTCAATGATACTACTCTTTTCATATTTAATTCTTGGGGGAGGATACAGGAGATGGCATTAAAAGATAGCTCTCATGAATCTAGTTAAAATGAAATGGTTATCTCCATTGACTTTTTGACTTGCGTGGCCAAATGAAGTACCAGTTCTATTTTTACTTTTTTCTTGGGGGAGGGAGGCTTATGTCTTTAGCCTTCACCTGGAATGCTAATTTAGTCCGAACCAAGTCCAGAGGATAAGTAAAGATCACAGCAGTTCCTCCAGCAAATGATCCTGCCAAAAGATCAAGTACGGGGCCTCTATTAAAATTTGGAAAAGTAAGGATAATCCATCTTCGATATTGTTCATAAGCCATGTAATGCAACGCTGCATAAGGAACAATCCGAGCGACGCTAGCACCATTGCCTCTGTGATCAAATCCACCAATATGTCATTTTCGGGGAAGGGGTGGGGCCTGTGCACAAAAAAATTATAGCACTTTCATGTACCCACCTGTAGAAACCCAGAAAACCTTCAGTCTTTGCAATCTTCTTAATGGATCCAAATAATCCTATGCTTTGATACTCTGCTCTTCTGGTCTAACAAGTTGACAAATAAGTAGAGAGATGTTAACTTCTAGGAAAATACACGACCATTAAAAAATTGGATGGACTTCAGAATCCGCAAGACTATTAAGTAGAAAAGTTGCAATATGGAAAAGGGGTATATATTCAACATCAAGTCTAATATTGTTCAAGATCTAATATAAACATTTACATCCATAAATCATAAAAGACGTATCAGACATGATAAAATTCCACATTACATATTTTGGGGGGAAAAAATTTATGCACGARAAGTTTGGGGGAAATTTTTGATTAAATGAAACAAATAAGTGATAAAGGAAGAACTCCATTAACTGTGAACGGCGCCTAATAGCTGGCTCATTTTTATAGTTTGGAATGAATCCACAATTTCGTTGCTTTAAATTTGAAGGAAACCATATAGAATTAGTAGCTTCCCCCAAGCTCATTTTATAGCTGGTTCATTTTATATATATTATGAAAATGAGTTTTATTTTGTTTTTTTCTTTTTTGGGTGGAAATGAGATTAGCCAAATGAACGTACCAATATCAACTGAAAGTGATCGAGCAAATCAGAAATGTGATTATATGGTATAATTGCAGTGAATCAAGGGACTTTAGTTGGGGATAGACATATAATTAAATCCATTCCTTCTCATTGCTAACAAAACCATGATTGAGACGAAGTTACAATAGCAAGAGGATCTGGTTCTTCAACTGAATTTGAGAAGGCAAATGATTGTGTGGAACAGGATTTTCTTAACTTTGTTCTTAAGAGAAGGGATTTGAAGGTAAATGGAGACATTGGCCCCACAACTATTAGTGATCAGCAAAATTTTCAATCATTATCAATGAAAACGGAGAGGCAAGTTTTAGGCTTCTAGAAGCTTATGCAAAGGCATTTTCTTTCTATGTTACCAGTGGATATGTTGGATGCTCTTTAGACAGAATTAGGGATACCCCTTGAAGAATTCGTTGGAAAGTGTTTTTTTATACAAAAAGAAAAAGGAGAAAGAAACCGTGCTCCCTTTCAGCTTATTTAGAGGATTCCCTTGAAAGCCACGATCCCTGAAACAAGAGTTTGGCAACTAGATCCTGTTTGGGTCTTTCTCCAGTAAATCAAAGAACACTCAGACAGGTGGATCAAGCATCTTATCTCTAGGAAAGGGCAAGCTACTYTAGAAATCTAAGAATCCTAAGAAAGTCAAGTTCTTCATCTAGAAGACAACATTAAAGATAAATTAGAAATCTCAAACTTCTCAACCCCTAGATAATGTGGGCTGTGTGAATTAGACAGCATCGAGATCCAAATCATTCTTCTGTGCATTGTTCTCCTAGATAGCTGAAACATTAATTCCAAATTATTACATTCCCTAATTTCCCTCCTATCAATAAGTGGACTAAGATCCTACCAAACAACTCTAAGTTTGCCATTTGATGGGACATATGATTTTCTAGGAACAGAAATCTTTTTAGACGTTAGGTACGAGAAAATTGCTAGGAACGATTCCTCCAGATATTCTATTGATAAGAAAGAGTTTAGCAACTCGCCCATTGTTTTTATTTCAGCGAATTGGAGGAGAGTCTTCCTGTAATCTCCTTGGTCCTAGGACTCAGGCTAGACTCCTAGTCCTCCCATTTTGAGCATCTTTCACTTCAATACATAAGTTTGAAGTTTTTTTTTTCGTCATTCAAAAAAAAAAAACAAAAAGGATTCAAACATAGTCAGTGGGAATTCTTTACCCGTCTATGAAGTAAAATGCAAAGAAGATATGGACCAGAGCATCTTGCTTTGTCCACATTCAGGACTGAAAAACTAATTGGAGTTAATGTTTTCTGATYAGGTTTAATGTTTAAGCTTGATAGTTCATAGTTTCACCATAAAAGTGAATTTACAACTTCGCAACYACAATTCCAGGCAAATCAAAATCTAAATTCTGAAAGAGCATTCCAGCACAAAATCTCATTCTTAATCTCATTTCTATTTCCAATAGAGAACGAAGAAGACGTTCATGAGCTCAAAAACGAAACTCTTCAAGCAGCACCCATTAGATAACTAAGTACTTTCCAATGTCAATAAACGGTAAATAAATTGAGCTCAAATTCTTACCAATTATGAATAGATTACTAATGATCCGAAAACAAACAAATACGAAGAACAAGCACGATCATAGATTAAAAGCATACAAACAAAACAACAAAAATGAAAAATAGTCACTACTTACCTGGAACAAAATCTTGACACGCTCAAGAGGAGCGACGACGGTCTTCGCGAATCCACCGGCGGCCCCGCCGGCGATCAACTCCTTGGCATACTGAGGCATAGCCTCTATTACCCCATCCATGATCATATTCACCTCTCCTTCTTCTCTCTTCTTCGCCATTGATCATCGATCAACGAAAGAATGTTAGTTTCGATTACGATCAAGTAACAGTTGGGCCATCAGAACAGGAAAAAGGAAGACGGAAGCGTTTCAGAATTTGGTTCGAAATTTGGTGATGCCATGGCTGTAAATCGCAGACCAGTCAAAGAGGTCCACGCCTCCGCTGCTATTTCTTTATTTGTTTCATACTTATAGTATAGACAAAAATTCCACTTTTTTCTTTTTTCTTTTTCTAATATATTGAAAAATCCCATCGTTCCTTTTTTTTCTTTTTTAAATATATATTTTTCATTCTTCTTAATTTTATATAAAATTAAATAATAATAAAAAAAAGATTCCGGCCGAATTTCATTTGCGGCCGTCTAAATGAAACTAATTTTGGTTGTAAAATTTAGGCGATTGTTGGAGTTTTTGTCCGTTTATCAACTTCTTTTAATTCAATGACATAGGAGTTTGTTTGAATTTCAACTTTTTATTTTTAAAAATTATGCTTAAGATTTTTATATATCTTGAAAATATATTTAAATTATTAACCAGATTTCAAAAAGAAAAAAAAAACAAACAAACACATAAAAGTTGGAAAACTACTTGTTTCCAAAATTTGAGCTAGATCTTAAAAATGTTTGAAAAGCTATGTAACAAGCAAAGGAAAAGGAAAAAAAAACAAACAAATAAAAGTTTGAAAACTACTTGTTTTCAAAATTTGAGCTAAATCTGATAGATGTTTAGAAAACTGTATAACAAATAAAGGAAAAGAAAGTAACGGTTCTAAGTTTAATTTTTAAAAATAGAAACACAAAATAAAATGGTTATCAAACAGGACATTAAAATTAGGCGTTAGGCTAATTTATGAGCATATATTAATTTTTTCTTTTAAAGTATAGAGGGAGATTAAATAGACACGGCTCAAAAAAAGCTTCTGAACGGAATATATAATTTAAGTTAAATTATTATTATATATATGTTTGTTACATGAAATTAGTTTTTTAAATTACAATTTAATTCTTTCTCACAAAATTTATCAATAATTCCAAATCCAATAAGAAATATAAACAAAATAGTAGTAACTCAATAATTGAGCTCTCTTGATACATATACATATATATATATATATATATATATATATATATATATATATATATATATTTGAGCTTTCCTTTATTGAAATACCCAAGTATAGAAGACATATAAAGACTGTTTTAAAGGTATTCTTCAAATGCCAGAGGCCAACGTTCACGATACAAACTCTTTTAAACAAGAACAAAAGCTTATTTTTCAAAACAGTCCATGGAATATGATTTTAAAGATTTTGTTTTAGTTTAAATACTATTTTGATCCCGTTCATTTTTGTCCATGTACTTTGTTCATTGTATTTTTAAAAAATGGCTTCTTTTATTTCTATTTGCAAAATGTTAACCAGCATAAATTTATAGTTATATTACATGAAATTTAAGTGAGTTAAATGACATGTTAAAATTATGATCGAAAGAAATGAGAGAAAAATAAAAATGAAGAGACCAAAATGGACCTTTCGAGAGTACAAAGACTAAGTTAAATAAAAGTTGATAAACAGTGGTCGAAATAGACATAGTTCGTCAATTAAGGCTTCTTGCTCCGTCCCTAGAGTTCGAAGGTTCAATCCCCTATTCTCATCTTTATTGTACTAAAATTATATATATATATATATAATATTGTATTAGAGAAAAAAAAAAAACCAAAAGTTGTCAAAACAATATAATCACTATTGCTAAAAGAAGTTGTCTTTGCTACTAATTAGAATTCTTTCTTTTACTTTGGCAGCCTGCCAACTTTATGCTAAATATGCAGTCTTGAATAAAGCATGGAATAAAAAGCAAGATGGAGATGCAGAAAGGTATGAAAGAAAGCTTCCTCTTACGGAAGGCACATCTTTATACGAGTTGATTTTCTGATACAATAAATTGATGAGACAATAGCTAGTTGCTTCAACATCTGCAAATAGTTATAATAACAAAAGTTGAGAAAATATTCTCTTTTGATGGGTGACTATAAAAGAAAATGTTAACCAATTCTCCTCCTAATAAGAAAACAGACAGCAAACATGATATCTGCCAAAGTTATGATATTGCACAAAAAAGCTTAGTCCCAGAGTAATATGATTGAATAATAAGCGACCAGTTTYCAATAATAAGCAAACATGATATTTGCACACCTCGATTTATCACGGGCCAACCACCTGACCCTACTACATTTGGTTGACAAGGTAACTCGTAGGATATTAATCACGGGTCACCAAGTTTCCACCAAATTAAATTACCTCTGGACTTCAGGTCTTGTAATAAATGATTATCAGCAAATTGGGATGGCAACATTCAATTATTTTACATCCACAAGGCCAGATAAGATCTTTTCCAGCTCTTTCCCATCACTCCATTCATGGGTCTTAGCCTTTACAAGTGTTTGATTGGAGTTTATCCGCTCGGAGAGGGGATAGAGCTTCCTAGGCATTACATGGTCTTCTTCTTCAAGCCTCAGGGTTGGGCAAAAATCACCTCTCCCATCTCCAATGTATATGAATTTATGGTTTACGCTTTTAGAAGCTCGGATTTGGTCAATTACCAGGCCCTGCAACAGAAATCGCAGTTGTAAACGCATAAGTATACGAACTATGCCTACATTATAAGCAATTTGGTAACCCTGTGATTTCATGGACCTACTCGATCAGTAAACTGTCTAAATCAAGGGATGGAGAAATGGAAATGAGAGAATCAATGGAGTCCTATCTAGATATCAAATTTTGTCTCCCACTGGCGTGGGATTGGAGGTCTAGCACCATATGGTGGAGGAAAATTGGCTTGGCATAAGATGAAGGTCATTTTCTAGGCTGATGTTTCTTCAGGAACTACTAGTGAAACTCCAATGGATTTCCATACGTCGGTAGTGATCAATAGTAATAAAGAAATGGAACCAGAGTTACATGATAAGACAAAGCAAATCAGCAAAAATCTGTGAATTATTAGTAGGTGGCTTTCGTTGCTCTCTTTTTCCCCCACATATCCGATAAGAAGAAACACGCCGTCCTTGAACACTCTAAAGGCGTAGCACGTACGCTATATACCCTAAAGGCCTAAACTCATCACTTGAAAGGTAAAGCTTATTCTAGGTGAGCAGCTAAGGACCCGTTTGATAACGTTCTCGTTTCTGTTTCTTCATTTTTAATAAARAAAAATAGAATTGCATGGCCCCAACACCCATGAATTCAAGGATGATTAAACAATGTTTATATTCGTATTTTGCAACAAATTGGAAACGGAAGCAAGAAACCTGTTTTTTATTGTTTTCAAAATTTCTATACAATTTTGAGAATGTTTAAAAAAAATGAGAAACAATAAACATAATTAATTGCAAAATGCTTAAGTTCTTAATAAAATTTGAAAACGAGAAACAATAAACGAGAACGTAAACAAACGGGTCTAAAGAGCCTTCTCTAATCAGCAGAGCCATTAAACTGGCCTTTCAATCATACAGCACGAAAAAAATGCAGAATTAAATCAACAAGTGGAGTGACTGAATAGTCATACCTTGCACATATTTGATGGGCACAGATTGCAACCATGAGAAGTTGAGTTATCATGAAATGGTAAGATTCTAAGCCTTCCCTTCCCATCTACAAAGGTAGGATTCGTGTAGATCTTTGAAAAGCATCCCAAAACACCATGATGTTTTAAGATTGTCTCAATGAAAAACTGATTAGCATCACTAATTATCCTTAAGTCACACCTGAGATAACATCAATTCCATGTCCTTCCAGTGAGTCATCATCAGAACACTTGAAGAAATGTCATAAACAATCTTTAAACCACCAATTTATGAACAGATGAGAAATGCTACCCAACAGCTTCAGCTGATCTAATAGCAGCAATAATTTGTGGATGCAATGCAGCGCCTTTCAGACACTCAGCAATATCCTCTATAGTTCTTTCTTGCGATTGGAGCTCCACCATCAAGGTATCCTTTATAATTAAGAGAATCAGTCCCAGTAATTCGTAGTAAAAGTAAATTAAACGTTAGCAAGATTTTAATTCAGCAAAATTCGAAGGTTAATCACACGCCAACTTCGCAATTCTTAACCAATAACCTATTGGATAAGAATAATTCTCCGTTTCCCTAATTCCTGCTATTCCATAGCAATCACTGAGAATCGAAGTATATGATGGTAAGAAATACAAAATGCAAATTGCGATCCATGAGAGAGTTCCATGGCAAGGAAGAGTAAAGCTCGTTGAAGAGATTGGTGAGACCCATTTGCGTCACCACCAAATTATCACTGTCGCCATCAATGATCGTCCGATCGAAGTCGAAAACTATCGTAATCCCAGCCATCTCGGCCACCGCAACCAATCAAGCTACTAAAACCGGATTCGCAGCGATCCAAGAGGCCGTCGTTGATTTCACCGTTAACTCGACCGCCGGAGATGCTACCCGACGGCGGTGATGAGTCGGAAAATGAAACTGCAGCGGGCGTTTGGTAACGTGGTCACGAAGAGAATCGTAGATTTTTGGTTTATTATGATCTAAAACTAATCTAAAGTACACATTTTTTTTTACCTGTTCTAATAATAATTGCTTTGATAAAAACATTTCATACTTAATTCAAAATTGGAAAATATTTTAAATTTAAATATAAGGAAATATCACCCACCAAGCATAGCTCAAGGTATATATCCTTTGAAAAGTCCAAGGCTCACCAATATTATTATGTAAGTTCAAATCTCATATTCAATTAAGTTTTTCCAATCGATATTCAGTCTAAAAGCATTAAAGCACATCCAATACTTTCTAAAACAATTCTATTGTTTCCAACCATCCATTTTCTTTTACTACATGCCAATTATATCGTGTTAAGCTAGTCAGCATTTATAACGTCACATAGTCGCTACATGTCTAGCACCTCTGAAAGACAAGGAGGACTTCATCTAGTGACTGCATCCTATGACTTCGATAATAACATGACAGTAAAAACTACATAAATCATTTCAAAACAATCAATTGTCCATTAAAAGCGCATTAACTAGGCAGACCACAAAATAAATAAATAAAACTTTGTTAAATGAATATAGTGATTCTAACAATCTAGATGCTCATTACAATCCGAGTAAAATTTGTAGGACTAAGAGAAGTAGATGAATAATCATCTGGTTGCGGAAGAAATAGAAGAATTCCTCAAGAATCCTACGACATCAATTACATTTTGTAAATTTGAAAGTTGGACCACCCAAATTTCATTGCTTGAAGTAAAAAAACGATTGACTTTTTGAATAGTGGCATACATAATGGGGAATAATGGCCATGGCCATAGGGGGGCGCCGCACATGACGTTAGAGGCTGGCAAAAATTCCTCATTCGGTGAACACCAGCTAGCAATTCAAAAGACTCTAATTTATTCATTCTATATATATATATATATATATATATTTTAGCTTGTTTGCTTCATTTTGACTCATAAACTTTCATAATACTGTATAAATATATTCACCTAAGCATGTAAATCACATACGTCGAAAACGAATCTATGGATAAATGAATATTAGGTATCAAAATAATATACCTAGTATATTTCAAGAGTTCAAGGATCAAAATAGACTTTTTTTTTTAAGATTTTCTTAGTTTATGTAGCTCAAGAATGAGAATGAAGAATAAATTAGAATTCTAGGTCACAATGAATAAATTATATTGGTGAGGTTGAAGAATATACGAATCCGCATAGTACAAGGAATATGATCTCTTTATGTCTGATGACTACAAAAGAATGAAGAATGTGTCTCCCTCCCTATTTAGTTATTTACCCATCATCACATCTCTCCCTATCTACAAACAAACGCCCTTCAACAAATCAAAAATCTGGAAAAGAAAAACTTACAGACAGACAGAAACAGACTTTTGAATCACACCAAAGCAAAGCAACACAGCCCCGCCCCTTCTCTTCTTTTCCAATTCTACCCCTCCCACGACGCTTATGAGATGCGGGTTTTTATCGGTTTTAGCTTCAATCCCATGCTTTCTGGAGAAAGGAGCTCTGGGGAGATGCACGATGGACTCAGCGGGCTCCGTGGACTGTCACTGAATTGGCACGGCCTGTACAACCCGTACCCCATGAAGAAGTACTCCATGGGTATCAACATTGCGTGTGGCTGCTCTTCGGTTACCATCGATCCACAGGCTTGGACCTGCACAAACCACACGCTCATGCTCAGTTAATTACTTGACAAAACCTAGGTATGCTGCATTCCAGATCACCATACCTCAACCAAGGCACTATATCTTCTATCCAATTTTGAGATCATATGGAGCGCTTCGGAATGGAAAGGCGAGCTGTCCCCGACGAATATGAGAGTACGACACCGTAGCCTCTTCAACCCTTCGGTAATGTCTGGTCTTCTGCAAAAGGGCAAACACAAGGTTGCAGATCGACATAGATGGAGTGGACGAGCAGAAAGAATGGTTGAGTTGAGGAAAATACTTACCCATTAATTGCTTGGAGGAACCTAAAAACATTGTTGCTTTGTCTCTCATCTAGCAACTGACAGCAGAAACACTCTCCTTGTCAAACCAACCCAGATTTGGAAGAAACAACAGCAACAAAAAAACATGACAGACAAACTAGTCCTAGGCGATGTAAAAACCTCAGAATGGGATTGACTAATTGACAAAAGTACATACTTTTCTACATGCTTGAACAATATCGGATTCTGCAACTTCGGCACTACCTCGGACCTCCTGTTGCAAGTTACAAGAATCTCATGAATCCAGCCACCAACAAGAGAACAAAAGGTAAATCCGGAAAAATGATTAACTCTAAAAATGGAAAGGGAAACTATAAAACCTTGCTGAAATACCGCTGAAGCAAGCACTCTTTCAACAAACCGCACATGCCATAGAAGTATAACAAGTTTGACATTACCTGCAATTACAAGGGATATGTGATAACACATATCGAAACTTGAGTACATTTCTATGTAAAATTAGTGAAAAGATTTGAAAAAGGTACCTTATTATAGAACCACTCAGACCAAGAGGGTGACTTGCATAAGGGGGATATAAGAATTAATCCAAGAACACGTTCTCTATATTTCAACTGTAAAATAGCAAATTGGTCAGACCAACAAAGACTTTTCATTGAACTTCACACTGAATTTCATGATGAACATACAGCGAAAAGAGTGAGAATGTAAGCGCCAGCGGTTACACCCATGCACATAACTGCACCAAGTCTGTAATAGAAGTACCCAATTAGAAATCCACTATCTAAGATTTGATCTCAAAATTTCAAATTGGAGAGAGGGACGACAGAAAGAGACTGCATTGTAATTACCCAAAATAGTTTAGAACCTCAAGGATTTGATCTGCTAAATCATCGGCAGAGGGTGAAGGATCATCCTGACAAATCTCAGCAGCTCCCAACTGCAAGAACTCTTGGTAAAGTTCCAAAAAAGGAAACTATGTGAATATAGTATTTAGGAGCAGACACAAAGCTATCCATGTACACAAATTTACTCGACAATAATACAGACCTCATGTCCTGGGGGACTGATGTGGTAGATGCAAAAGTTGTGAAGCAGCAACGAAGCTGCTTCGGGGAAAAAGAACAATCCTTGGAAACATGACATATCTGCAAGAAATAAAGGGAAAAGATGCCACTTAAAAGTTATTTCACATATTTTGATGTTGACAAAAATAATAACCTACTGAATATCTAAAATCGAAAAAATCATAAAACTCATGGCAAAAAGATACTCCAAGCACATACGATTTAGAGCCAAATCAGGATAAGTGATTAGTGGAGGCTTGTCTTGGTCTCCGCATACTATTACAGAGACAGAACCCTGGCCAGTTCGTACATGATGCTCCTGAGAATGACATAAGTGATAAGTAGCATTTGCTACATCAGCAAGTTGATACGAGAAGTACTGGAGGGAATCGAAACATTCAAAATCATGAAGATTGTCATTAAGAAGAATCTCATAATTGTCCCAACCAACCACATATTATTTCATTAATGTGCAATGGGTGGTAGAAATAAAGCCATTAAGAAAAGAAAAGGTTCAAATAGTCCAGCATCTCCAGCCAATTATATCCTAAAAGAATAGCCCATGTGCATCTCCTTCTTTCAAGATGCCCAAGCTAACTTGTCCCGTCAATTTAGTATAACTTTATAAAAGTTGTGCAAAACAAATTTATAGTTTAGAGTTTAAATTATTATTAGTTTGATACTTATGACAACAGACAAGATAAATAAGAAGATATCCCGATAACCAAAAGAGGAAGAAAAAGAAGAGAGGGTACGGCTTAAATTTATTCAGTAGACTGCAATGTGCCTTCAGCTACAATATCGACCAAGTTTAACTACGAAGGTAAGAACCATAGAATGAGAAAGGATCAAAAAGTAGAAAAAAATCTCTATCTGCAAATATCATGAAAAGAAAATAACACCACTGCAAGAAAACAAATGGGAAAATATATCTAACAAAGAATATCAACATAACCCATTGACAATTGGAAAGTTCAAACTAACAATCACCAAAAAGCCCCCAACTGAACAATAAGAAATCATTAAAAAAAGGCACAAACTAAAGAGATATACGATCTCGTCAATTCGCCGTACTCGTAGCCTTCATAAAAGCTCGATCAGGTGAAAGACCTTTATAGAAAGGGGTAAAATATCGAATACGAGGGATAAGACTAAAATGGTACATAATGAAAACCAAGAAGGAAACGTAACAATAGAAATATTCCTCTTCCCAAATGACCCCAAAAAAAAAGAAGCTGGAAATAGGAAGTTAGCAAAGCCCATCGTTATCATATCTTGCACTTAATCAAGTACGGGGAAATACCAATCCCTGAATCAAGAAAGTACTTCAAAACCTAACCCATTATATTGCTAGTAATTTTATTCTAATTTTTTTGGTTTACCTCGAACTTAATTATTGAGAGCTTCCAAAAATTAGAAAAATCCTCGGGCAAACGAGGATTAGGGATGGAAAATCAGATCGGAACGAAAGAAAGAAAGAAAGAGTGGGAGAGTTATAATCCCCAAATAATTTCCTACTTTTTTTTCTTCACATCCAAACAAAGCTATAGAATGCCGTAAGACATTTCACCAATAATGAGAACCCCCAGCCCCACAGCCAAAAGAAAACGGGATATTTAGCCATCAAATCAGCAAACCGGCTGCATCCCTCGATCGACAAAAGAGAAGGGAAAAAAGAAGGAAAAAAAAAACGTTTCAAGTTTCAACTCCACCATTAAAAAAAGAAGAATCCCAGAAGAGAAGAATAAGAAATGAGTAATTTATTTAATTTTCACAAACCTTTCCACCGAGATAGATCTTCTCCATGTCGACGGAAACTGAGTCGTTTGAGTCTGCCATGGCCGTAGCTCTATGCCCGATAGCGCCACCGCCAGAACAGCTGCTCGCCGCCGCACACGGAAGCCCTCTCTCGACGCTCTCCGATTATCTCCCTCCCCTTCGCTCTCTCCCTTTAATCCCTCTCGTCTTCCAGAATTATAGGCTTTGGTTTCGTTGGCTTTATATACAAAGCGATTCTTTTTTTTTTCCCTAAGCTCTCTCTATTTCTCTCTCTTTTATCCTTTTTTTTTTTCTCTCTCTCTCTAACTGGCAAATTAACCTACGGTTAAATTCCACCGACGCTCCTAGACCCTCCGCACCAACTGATATTAACCCGTTAACCGTGGTTAAAATTCCGCCAGCTCAGCTTGGGAAACCGCAAACAGAAAATGCTTAAACTCCACAGAAAACGACGTCGTTCGAAGGCCATCGAAACGACAACTCGTCAACCACCAAAACGACGGCACGCACCGTTCGCTGGAGCCGGGAATGGAATTTAACGGAACGGGAGGAATTTGGATTCCGTTTAATAAATAAAAAAGCTCTTTCTATTTTATTTTAATTTTTTATTATTTTAAAGACGTAATATAATGATGAGGCGGGGCTGGTGGGGCCCTATATTTTGGGTTTGACTAAAAGCTGATTGGTGTCATAGTGATGCTTACACCTGTCATTGGATGCTCTTTTTGTGGGACCCACTGTGGGCCATGCCCCGCTGATGTAGGTACTGATTACGTGTACAAAAGGACTCCTTGGAAATTCTTTTTTTTTAATAAAAAAAATAAAGAAAAGAGGAAAAATAAAATAATAATTAAGAAAAATAGAAATGAGAGATTGCTTGCCTTTGATCCGACTCAATTATTAATCATGCCCATTTTAATCATATTTTTCATATATATTAAATTGACTTACATTTGGCAATTTGTGAGTGGTTCCCTCTCATTCCTTCACCAACCTCATATACCATGCTTTTTGGGCGCAAAATTAGGGTACAAACAAGTAAATTAATGTTGAATTGATGTATGATTTTTAAGAATAATTGAAAAGTAATTTCAAAATTAAACTTTATAGAAAATCAAGTTGGCGCCGGAAGACCTTGAATTGACGAAAATTCAAGTGAAATAAATTATAATTTTTCAATTTGACGTACGTTAGACATGTTGATTCTTATCGTTTTTTCAGAATATATTCAAATAATAACTTAAAGACTTCGTTTTTTTCATTATCTTTTAATAATATTTAATGAATGATCTAGGGAAAGAAACTACTCTATATGTTAAAAAGTAATTTTTAGCATAAACAAAAATATTAACGTACACAAAATTCTAACCACTATTATTAAAAATAATTTTACAAATTGAACGCAAATTTTCATCAAGTCATTCATAATGATTTTCTTGACCATTTTTCTCGATATAAAAAAGTTCTAATTATTTTACTTTTAAGTTTTTAACGCATGGTTACAAAAATAAATAAATAAAATTAGACCTGAAAAAAAAAATCATGTGAAAGAGATATTGCCACCACCTTGGCCCGTGACTACATAACTGATTATTTCAGAGGAGATGGTTCAATCGTCATGGGAATATTCTAGAAATTATTTTTTTTATTCGGGAAAATTGTGCAAGAAAATAAGTTCTTTTCATTTTTCATTTTTTAATTGTTTAATAATAATGATAATTGAAGTTGCTTGAAAAGTAATCTCAGACCACCACTGGATTAAGCAGTTTGAACCAAAGCTTCTGGCGGTTTTGTTGGTTGTTTTATTGAAAGATAATTTAAATAAAGAAACCTATTTGAAATTCGGGTCAAGGTCCAAAGTTAAAGGGCAATCTTGTAATTTGAGAGAACTAGACCAACCCGACCAGCAATTTTAGACCGTTGGATGTATGAGAGAACAAATGGGTGCAAAAGAGAACACCAAAAACTGAATTGATTACGGCTTTCTCCAAACCTCTGAAATAAGCATGAGCCAGAAAGGATCGGCTTGTATGATACAACCCCTCCGAGAGACAAGTTAGAACAATGGTTTTTTCGTGCTGTAGAAACGATGTTCGCTTAAAATATTTGATTCATATTCATGAAACACCACAGTATCATGCTGTATCAAAATTGTTTTTCCCTTTGTTCTTTCTTTCCTTGATTTGGTCATTAGATCAACTTACATTAGCAACCTTGGTTGAGCCAGTTGTACTCTTGAGTTGAAAATCCAACATACTTTGCGTATCGATCAGCCTACCCGAACCCGATGAGCTCCCACTTGTAACTTGGCCAGCTTCCTCCTGAAAGATCTTCAACAAAACAACAGGGAAACAGACAACAAACCGAATCTGAAGTTGTGTTGTCGCAACCAAATACGACCTTTCTTGTTAAATCATATTACTCTTCCATGTCAGAATCTTCATCCTTGTGCGGATTATGAACTTCACCCTCACTGTTTGGATCGTTATTATCAACAGCTGACCTCAATTGGGCAGCATCAGGGTTAGGGAAGAGATCATACTTTACAAACTTGATCTTGTTCTTTCTTTCAGACTTTCTCTGTCGCTTCTTCTTTCCCGAACCATTTTCAGCCATTGACATTGTACGAGCAACAGTTACTAAGGCTGCATTTACAGATTCATCCATCGCTTTGTCCTCTTCACTTTCGTTTTCCTTTTCCCCTTGCTTGTCAACGTAAAACAAAAGACCGTCATCTACTTTATTTCCCTCCAACTTGGGATGCCTCGAGTCTGATTTTGAAATATCGAGTACTAATTTGGCTCGATGATCAGAGATGGTATTGTCGAATACTCTCACACCTTGATCTTCAGCCTTAAAAAGCCACTCTGGAAGGAAATGAACAGAAAATGAGATCATTGACTATACCATGAATTTGTATATAATTACGTAAAAGTTATTATCGACTTACCGAGAAGTATTTTAGGTGACGATCCGTTGGGTCGATTTACATTTTCGTTGCTAGGAATTTGGCTTCTGACCCATCTAATCATTTGAGAAGGTACAGGAGAACTTGAGAACGCATTTAGATAAGAGATGGCTCTGCTCTGATCCCCATGCTCCCTAAATGTAACAAAAAGGTATAAGACTTTTGGTGGAAGGTTCGGTTAAAAGTTCCGGACATGTTAGTTATTCATATACCTGAAAAACTCTATGGCGTCATGAGTAAGAATCAATCTCTTCACAGCAAGAAATGCCACGTGTTCGGCATGTAAGTCAATGGCTTTCACAGGATTCAAAAATGAATAATCAACCAATATAAGAGCATCATATAGAACCTTCCTTAAAAGAAGTTCATCTTCAGTACTCTGCATGGAAGGTTTTACAATCACATCACATGATTTTAGAATTATGATTTCAGTTAAATCTCAATCACTCAACATTGGGTCAAGGTTGATCACAATCGATCAATAACAATCAGAGGACAAAGTTCGTGCACATATTCATAACAATCAATTTACTTCCCAATCAGAAATTCTTCATCTCACAATCTGCTTTCATCAATAACAAGCACCCATGTATCTGGAGAATTTCAACCATTTACACCACCAAACTAAGAGTGTGCAAGAAAACCAAGAAAACGGAACCGATTCAATCAGGGTTTTCCAAATGCTTCGGTTTTCTCTTTTCCAAGTATGGAAAAATCAAAACAGTTACACGATGAACAAATCCTTTGTTCTTGTCAGACATGAAGCCATTTTTTAATGAGAATAAGATTGAAAAGATTATCCTAATATTCAACACAGAAAAAAAAAGGTTGTCTATCAGACTATCAGCCAATCAGCCAAAGATGGAAGTTAGAGAGCTCTGTGTGCATATAGAACTACCATGTAAACCAGGGCACACCCTTAAGCACTGAAAAAAGTAAACATACATAAATAGATACAGAAACTATACAATGTCATAATTCTAAGGAAGACACGCCAATAAGTTAAAATAATTTCAGAAAAGCAAAACTCACCAACAGAGACATCACAGGTAAAGTCACCCCCAGCAGGAATCTTATGAGAGTCTCTGTTTTGACACAAACATCGACCAAGATGTAAGCACATTACCGAAATTTAAATTAAAAGCCTCAATATATGAAACAACATACCAAAAGGACATGCAACCGGCAAAATTATGCAAACGACAATCATTGTTATGCACCTAGGTAAGAAATAATGAGTATATTGCATAGAATGCCTATATCTTTCTACCATCTCTTACAAAAATCCACATCATTTCTCATTTATCTCATTCCTCATAATACTTCTTAATTATCGCTTCTTCTTATGCTTCACAGTTCACACTCAAGCCCAGTAGTATGGAGCTTTACTTTTATTCTAATTCTAGCTATTGCAAGAATGTAACTATTCATTTGGTTAATAAATGCCATAGACAACTACATAAATATCGTATAACAAACAAGCTGGCAGCATTTAAGATATTGCATTCAACATCAGAAAGATAAAGAGAAAGATCATAGAAAGCATAAACTATCTAATATAATCAAATAAATACTGCAACATTATACAGAATCAAAACAATAATCAGAAGATACCCTGTATCACTAACCAAAAAGGTAGCAGTTCCTAATCCCAGTTATAGAACCAACAGCCCATAACCTTAGATCTTTCTCCAACTCCTGCCTCGAACGCCCACTATGGAAGTCCAAGCACAGTTTCATCAGAAACGCCTCCGCAATTACAACTCCAGCCAAGTGACGAACATCACAGACGCCTGAACAAAACCCTCCTCGAACCTCGCTACTCACAAGGGGTAAGAACTGATCTAATCCCTCATTCGGATGCGTCCAAATACTAATTAAATCCATAAAAGGAGTAATCAAATTGAAGTCGAGCTGTTCAACGTTCTGGTCCGAAACCTTGCAAGAACTCAGATTTATAAAGCCTAGAATCGCTTCAACTAAAGCTTTAACCTCTCGCATTGCTTTCTTTTCCCTTTTCGAGGCCAAGTCCTTACCGAGCATGTCAGCAATCAATTTATACACCTCGAAAACCACTGGAGCGAGCGACGCAACGGTCTTCGAAGAACCACAAGGAGCCGAACAAGAACACACCAGCTGAAACAAGACTTTCATGGCTGCCAGTCGGTCCAAAAAGTCGCCCTTAGCGGAGCTATGGCTACGAAACATTAACGCGGAGTAGAACCAGATCGATTCCATGGGTGGGTCAACTCTAGCTTGCATCAACTTGTAGAAATCTTCCGTAAAATGACAAAACCCAAGATTTCCTTCGCGAATTTCAGCTAAAACATTCTTGATTGATTGCTTAAGAGTAAGCTCGTAGTTTTCTCCAAGAAAAGGATTCTGGTTTGGAGGGTTCATAGAATCCATCGATTCAACAAGAGCCAAAGCCATGGAACTCGCTGAAACTTTATCAAATTCAGTCAATTTCTACGGAAAAAAAGAAGTACAGGAAAAA